CGAGTGGGACCCATGATGATAGGGAAGTCCACATGATGGGTGGGTGGTGAGATGAAGATAGGGAAGTATCCATGATGGGTAGTGGAGGGGCGCGGCCGTTGAGAGTAAAACTGGATTTACTCCCTGAGTCACTTGAAGAGTGATGTCAAAACGCTGGGCGGAGAAAATGAAAACGTACTGGAAACCATGCAGCCGGGGGTAGAGGTGGAGGTGGGGCTGAGCACTGAACGGCTGAGCGCCCTGAACGCGCCGTGCCGGGGCCAGGGTGGAGGCGATCCCCCCCACGAGAACAATACCTCCCAACAGTGATCGTCAGCGATAACGCATGAACCACGCGAACCACAAGGCCATAAACAGGTCGAAAGGAGTCGGACGTGTCCAGACCACGACACCTGGGACAGGGCCTCCCCGGGGTGAACTGGCGTCGTCCGCGCGCGGCGTCAGGTGGAGCAGGACAGCCAGGGCCAGGGCCGGCCGGGGAAGGCCAGAGAAGCCAGTCAGGAGTCGGCGGGGCGCGGCGGGGCGCGGCGGGGCGCGGCGGAGGTGCGCGACGACAGACAGGGTCAAGGTGAGGTCCTGGCCTCTGACTGGGTGGGAGAGGGAGGGTGGCCGCTGTGGCCAGGGAGGCACAAAGGGGTCCCGGCACAGAGAGTGGTGCATCCCGGGGGCGAGCAGCCTGCTCGGCGGTTGTTGCTGCAGGGCGTTATCGGTCAGCGCGCCGGACCGCGCGGCGACAGTGAACTACCTGTCTTCCCGCGTCTCTGGCCGCAACGTAAACAAGGGAGAGGCGACGTGCGTCGCGCACGTGCACACTGGTATGTCAAGGCAGCCAAAAGGCGAGACAAGCAATCGAAAAGCGAGGTATAAATTTAACTCGTCTACCGAAATAGCAACGTTTCCAGGGGGCGGGGGTGGGATGAATGGTAGACGGGTGGGTGGGTGCCCCTATGACGCCACATCGACGACGCGTGGACGTCAGCGGGTCCGGCAGGTTCGGCGCGCGGCACGTCACGCGGTCAGGAACTAGGTCATTCGATGGGACCAGGGAGGGGGGGGGGGCAGTGTGGTGATTCCCCGCCCCTGTACTACCCCCGCCCCAGCCCCACGCGGAGCGCCACCACCACTTGCCTTCGGAGTGCGCCAGACGGTGGCGCTCCCCTGAACCTCCTGAACCCTGACGTGGCCCTTCCCCACAACTGCTGCAGGATCTCCCCCCACCCCCACCGCACCAGCTAGGCTAGCAGCTGACGTCTCGGGTGGGTCAGCTGACTGCCTCCGCGGCCGCACTAGCGCACTAGGCGTGGTAGGCCCACGGCTTGGGTATTCGGGCGTCTTCCTATCACATTCCCCAAAGAGCGCGAAGCTCACCGCCCCACCTGCCTCGACACCGGACTGACCTGCACAGGCAGACCAGTGCCCCACAGGCACCAGGCACCCCGAGGGCGGAAACGGGGCTCAAGGTTGGAGTTGTCCCCGCCTCGGGCTCGGAGAGTGAGGATCCGTTATCAGCCAAAGCACTACCACTAAGGTTGTAGCGAGTGCCTCACGGCCGCGAGGCCGTGCAGCGACCACTGCAGTCCGTGCCCCACGGCCACCACCCGCGTCGCCAGGCTAAGCCCGCCTGGCTGCGACTGAAGGCCCACCCGCGGCCCGCTGTCGAGCCCCTCCCCTCGCACCGAACCTGCACGGCGTCGTGGCGCATGCGCGACATGCGCGACTATAGACTGGCCTGCCAAGCCAAAGCATGCCAAAAGGCCTTTACGCGCACACCACACCACGAGCAAGCACCAGCACCCTCACCCCCTTTTCCAGCATTCACCTGCATCAGTCCCTTTGACAGGGGGAATTCCAAATATCCCCGGTTGGTTAAGATGTTAGATGTACAAACAAACACATTATTTTGTTAAGAAGCGGGAAATAATACAAGATGTCCCCATAAATCTTCAAGTTTACACCTGCATCAGTCACATTAATGGGGGAGTTCAAAATGTCCACGATAACTTTCATTAAAACATACACCAACCCATGTAAATTGGTTAAAAAGCGCTGCATATTGTTATTTATTAGGAGCTGTCCAAAAGAAGATACCTTTGCACCTTACTCTTAGATAAGACAGGTATGACTTTGGTGATCAATAAATGAAGTGGTAAAATAGGAGATTAATCATGTTGCTAGAGCATCCTCAGTTGCAGAGCACAAAGCTTCACAGAACATTAAGGATAAAGTATGATTTACAATGTAAAAACAAGAAATGAAGTTCCTATTGAGATAAAGAAAAAGATTGAAGTATAAGAATGGATAAGTAAGGCGCAATTGTGTAAAAAAACCCTCAACAGATCATAGGGATCGTACGCAAACCACGTGACGGTTTTTTGGTGGGTTTTGACCACCCCCCTCCCCCTCTGTGGTGGTCTGTGGTGGTTTCGGGGACCCCCCCCTCCCCCCTCCATATTCACGTGGTTTTCAGCATATGTGTTATTTGACGTATTTACGACTATATAGAGCATTTTAATAAAAAGTGTATGTTTGCTGGTAGTCAAAACTTAATTTCGTGGTGACTTTTTGATTAAACACCGGCAGATTTTAGTGATTTATCACGAAATAAACGGATTTGTGCTAGTCTTTCTCAAAAATATGCTTATTTTAGCATGTAATTAATAGTCACGTGACTTGGCCGAAACACCCCCCTCCCCCCTGGTGGTGGTGAGTGGTGTTTTCACAGACCCCTCCCTCCCCCAAAATGCGTCACGTGGTTTGCGTACGATCCCATAGCTAGTTTGCAAGTTTGGCAGTGACTAGGTTATAAATGCTGTAACCAAAGAAGTTGTAATCCGAAACAAAGATAAATTTGACTTCTTTTTCGAAAAGTTACTTTTAACTTGACAAGAGAACTTGGAGGTTAGGAGTTTGTTAGGAAAATACCCAGCCAATCATGATTTCACCGAACAGGCCATGTCAAACGATGTACTAGTCAGACCCAAATAATTTGCATTGGTAATTCCAACAAACCTAAACTGAAAAACATTAAGGTTCACATAATGTGGAGCACAAGAGTAAATAATCTGGTTTGACATAACCGCACAGTTACGATGGGGTTATTCCCTTTACCATCAATGTCACCAACAAAGGATATTTTGAAGACTTGAAAGGTGACATGAAGTATTACGGTATTGCTGAGTTGATATCAAAAAACGATATTTACCTCTCCGGGAAAACGAACCCTGTCAGAAAGCTTGAGTGAAAACGCCATAGATGCCAGTTCTGATGGCAGAAGCACACTCCTCGTCTGCTGTCTGCTTGTGAGAACAGTTGAGGGTTGAATATGATGTATGGGTATGAGAACTTCAGAGGTAAAATGCGCCACATAATTCAAAAGTAGGCCGGAAGTGTACAGATAGTCCTTTTTATTGAAACGTAGTAAAAATATTCTTTAAATCTTAAGAAAATTATAAAAGACAAAACTTGGAATAAATTAGCTAGACTAGCATAAAAAAATAATCACTGACACTGACATGAATCAGCAATCCATGGGTTCATCATTAGAACCATCTCTGGTCACATGCACAATGCGATGACTAAACGCTGGAGAATGTGGACTGGTTAGAGGAGCATTTGATGGCTTCACTTTAAATTTATGGTATGCTGGCATTGGATGGGCTTTGTGAACCAAATCTTTACGTAGCTGTTGGATTTCTCTCTCCTCCTCAAGCCTTCTTCTTTCTTGTAGCTGCAGGAAGTGGAAAAACAGATTTGGAAATTGTTAGTTTTGATGGACTGAATCCCATAATACAGTAAATATAAAATCATAACAGGATTAAAATAAAAATGGAATGAGGATTAGAGAAATTACCTGGTGAAGTGCAGCAGAACGCTGTTCTTCCTTCTTGCGTAAATGCTCCTCAAACTCTTCTCTCTCTTTGGCACGTCTTTCAGTACTCAGCATAACTGGCAGAGGTCTAGTTGGCTTGTGTGGGGGTAAATGAGGTTGGAACGGAGCCTTGTATAGCACAACTGGTACACGCGCATGACGAACCTGCTCCCCTGCTCCTGCAGAAATTACACCATTATGGGACTGAAAGAAGAAAACAAAATTTAACTTGTTAAATTATTGATAAAAGTATATCAGGGGTATCACACAATGTTCAAAAATGTCCTAGCTTTACTTTACCTTGCTGCGCTGCCTGGTTGCAGGTTTAGTACATTGAATATTTGGTGCAGCAGCAACCTAAAATTCACAATCAATATTTAAAGTGGCTTTCTAAAGCATTCTACTGTTTAAGAGAACTATGATGCCTACCCCTTTCAAACGCTCCACCTTTCGTTTAATTATTTCCTGATCCCGTTTATCAAAGCTGAATGGTTCAACTTTTGTAGTTGGAATTATCCTCTTTAGTGGTGTTCTGCGGTCTCTTAGTAACAAATGTTCCTTCTTGTCAAAATTAAACATTTTCTTGGGTAGCTACAATATAAAACAAGTTTTCAAGGGACAACATAGATAAAAATTCCATAAAATATTACACTTGTTGCACTTACTTCTTTACTCTGCTCTGTGAACTTGTATGGTTCTACTTTTGGAGCTTCCCATCGAGCAACTCTGACACCTTTTTGTACTGCCTTTTTTCTGGGTCCCTGCAGATCTGGACTGTTTGCTTCACTTGGCACACGGCTATTCTGGGGAACAGGTCTTTTTGGTTGTAAGCGGATATTCTTGACCAGTTTAGACTGAATTGAACCCTTCAGGGATGCAGATTTTGGAACCGTTCGAAATCTAGTAGGCGTATTCTTTTGAATGCGAGCAATTTCCTCTGCCATGCTTATAAATTTTTCAGGCTGCTGGGTGGAATCTCGTATATGTTTGGAACCTGGCGATAGTTTACGTTTGCACCTTGTTTCATCTGTAACAAATTTTAAAACATTAAGGACTGTTCTTGTAATCAAATAACTTGTAACAGTATACACACCAAGAAATGTTACCCTGTATTCTTTGATTTTCACGGAGAGTTTTGCTTGAAGTTCCATGGTCATTTGAAAAAACTTGAGGCGAGATTGATTGATTCAAATTTGCTGAAATGGATTTGCGTCCACTATTCAATTTTAGCATGTCCAAAGCTTGCCTGGTCAATAAAATTAACAGGTTGCGATCCTAATTGGGAATGCAAAAGTATAAATATGAATGGATAAAGAAAGAAAGAACAACTTACAGTAACATTTCTTCCTCAGTTTTGGGAGAAGATGCAGGAGCAGGGCCCGCACTTCTGGAACGTCGCTTCTGTTTACTGGAAGCTGATTTACCACTTTCATCTCTTTTTGGAACAGTTCCATTCTGCACTAGTGGAGTCGATGTGTCAAGGGCAGGACCCAAAGCAGTTGGTGTAGGTGGTATGACATTGAAAGCAACTGGAAATTAGATGAAGCAAATTAGGTGAACCTGAGTAGACAGTTTAAAATATGCCAAATTCATAAGAAGAGTTAGTTTTTAATTCCTGCCTCTCCAGATATCAAAGAAAATAAAATCAAGTTTGATACAAAAAATAAAATAAATAACAAACACTATAACTTATTCCTGTTTGTGTACACACATTGTTCCTCACGGATCTCCCCTGATTGGCTATCTGCAATTGACTTGGTTTCTTTCTTATTATCCTGCCCAAGTTCCCAATTGACCTTTTTAGTACCTAGGTCTAACTTTTCACCTGGTATAATATAATGAGGGACATTATATTCGAAGTCAATTATGCACTTCACTTCAAAAGAGAATAGTACTTGCCTGCTCGACCCTTAGACTTGTTCAGTGCTGAACGAGTTGGAGTTAAGGCACTTCTTGGAGATTCACAATTATTAATTTTGGAAGTTCTTTTTTGAGAAGAAGTATTATTTTCAATGGCAATTTTTGGAGTGAGAGTAGAACTATTTACACCTTACAAGACAATGTTACAGTAGTAAATTACTCAAAATAAGGTGGAAAAACAAAACAAAAGTAGCAACTAAATATGTACCTTCGAAAGTGTGATTGAATGCAGTAGGTGTTAATGTTCTTTCGCTATCACTAAAAGATGACAGCTGGGATTTTTCACTGCTCCTGAGCTTGAGGGAACTATCCATTTCCAGGGCACTATCTTAAAAATAAAAGGCAATCGTTCATTCGTCTCCCGTCACACATTTGGCTATTCTCAAGCAGACAAAATTCCAATGTAGAACTTACTAAAAAATGCTGAGGCATCTGTGTCGGCATCGTTGTTTTGGAGATTTAAGAAGTCGACGTATTGCAGAGCGCGAATATTATCGTACATAGACATTTTAAAAGGTAGACTTCTTAATAAAATTTTTTTAAATAACTGTTTCCAAAGTTTGACAAAGTAACCTCCACGAACACGTGCAAATGGGAGGGAGGGATCGGAGGCACACTTCTTTTGACCTGTGACGCATTTGACGTTTGACGACTGTCATTAATCAATTGCTTGCAGCTGTCACGTGATTTTGAGAGAAACCGGAAGTTTCCCGCTCAGGAAACGTCCCGGATAACACATTTGTTCTCCAGCGCAAATTTTGAACAAAGTAACCTTACCAAATCGTCTCTTTACCATGATTCGGCTTCGTGTTCTTTATTAGATATAGCACTCACACAAAAATCACAGCAGCCCAGATGCCAGTGAGACAAATGAAATTTCTTTTTTTTAAATTCAGGCAGCGAAAACGGCTTAACGGCACATGACAGCAGAGTACATTTTGAACCGTGCGATAAAGCGATTCGATTGATTAAACTTCGCGGGGCGCGATCACGGGCCACTTGCGTCTAAATTTTTCATCCTCAACCCCACTGCCCCCCCCCCCCTTTCACCCTTTTCTTGGTAAAATGTTTGGCTTCCCCGTTCGCGTATTCCACGGCAGTCGTTTCTCCAAACATTAAAGTCGAATCATTTACTTGTAATTTACTTCTGTTCGAATGAGAAAAGAACAGGAAAAAATGGCGAAGCTTACTGCGTTTGTGAAGATGCAAAATAGTTATCGGGTAAGCTACAATAACAAAACTGAAACCGTATCATAACCCTCTCTTTGTTTTGCTTTATTGCCGGCTCACAAAGTGTCTGCCTTGGGAAGAAACTCAATTTTAAAAACCAAACATTTGTCGCCTATGAAACTTTGATTCGCTGCAACCTTTCTATCCTGACTCGTTTTCATCTTACCGAGAGACTTCATATTTACATCTGTTTCAGGAAGCTGTCAACGCATCTAGTTTTTCTGAAAAAGATGTTGATGTCCTTCAGAAAAAATTCAATTTGTTTACTGCAGAGTAAGAGACATCAGTGGTGCAGCATGTTGTTTTTACTTATGGAGTCATAGATTAACAATCTACCATTCCTCTGTGTGTTATTCAATTTTGTTTTTAGTGAGTCTGATAAGAAGTCCGCACTGGATCAAGTATTGCGAGAACATCTCCTTGACCAACTAGCACGCCGCAATGAAAAGGGTGTTGATGATGTGTCTGTATGGGAGCAGTTTGTGACACATTGCATTATTGCGTGCAAACGTTCTCTATGTTCTCCAACAATGCCTGTTGTGCTCCTGGGAGATGTTTTTGATGCCTTAACTCTTCAGCAATGTGAGCAACTTTTTGCCTATGTTGAAGAGAATGTATCTATTTGGAAGGAAGACATGTTTTTTACTCAATGCAAGAACAACCTTTTAAGAATGTGCAATGGTAATGGTGTCATTTATTTAATTGTGGGTGAGGTGATTCCATTTTCTGGATACCATTATTTTGGTTTCATAATCATTGTTGTTTACAGATTTATTGCGCAGGTTGTCAAGATCTCAAAATACTGTATTCTGTGGACGCATTCTGCTTTTTCTTGCCAAATTTTTTCCCTTTTCTGAACGCTCAGGTATGGTATTTTTGGGTTTTACACTGCATTGTTTCAATTTAATTGATCTTTGATGTTAAAGCAATTTTTTTATTCAGGGCTTAATGTTGTGAGTGAGTTTAATCTGGAAAATCTTACTGAATATGGTGCAGAAGCCTCAGATAATCTGAAAGAAATTTTGGAAGATGAAAATGACCAGAATGAAGAGTACAAGGCAGATATGAAGTAAGTTGAAAAGGATTAGACATGCAGTTGAGCTCTTACTTATTTACATGAATACTTTTACAAGAATTGAGGTTTTATGTGGTTGTCTGCTTTTTCCTCTAGGATTACAGTCGATTACAATTTATACAGTAAATTTTGGTCATTGCAAGACTATTTCCGAAACCCCAATCAGTGCTACAACAAAGTACATTGGAAAACTTTTTCTTCTGTGAGTTGATTCCCCAAAATTTGTTTTACATGCAATCTTATTGGCACAAGCCATTTTCTAATGAACTTTTCCGCATTAATTTTCAGCACTCAAACAATGTGTTATCTGCATTCAGTAGCTACAAGCTTGATGACATTACAGACAGCAAGAGATTAAAAATAGATAGCGCTCCACTAAAAGACAAGGAAACAAAAATGGAAGTTGATGGCTTTTCCTCCACATCATCTCAAGTGTTTTTCGCCAAGTACCTCACTAACCAGAAGTTATTAGAACTTCAGTTAAGTGATTCAAACTTTCGGCGCTACGTATTGCTTCAGTTTCTTATTCTTTTCCAATATCTCGATTCTCAAGTGAAATTCAAAGCGTAAGTATCTCTATCTATAAATTTTTGGTATTTTATTTTTTATCTATCTCTCCTGACTTTATTGTGAAAATTTCATATTTCCTTTTGCAGTGAAAATTATGAACTAAAACCAGAGCAAATTGAGTGGGTGAAAGAGACAACAGAGCTAATTTGTAGATTAATTCGTGAAACACCACCTGATGGACCTAGCTTCTTGCAAGCTGTAACACACATTTTAAAGGTAGAAAAATACAATAACTTTTTCATTAAATGCTATTTATATAGTGAACAGTTGGAAGCATTGAAGAAATATATTGCACACTGTGAAGACAAATTGATTATTTTGCTTTTAAAAGTCCAATCTTATGTTTTCCAAAAAACATAGCGAGAAGAGCAGTGGAGTAATTGGAAGAATGAAGGCTGTAAAGAATTTCAGACGCCTGGGGGAAATCAGAAAGGGCTGACTGACACTGATGAACCTGGAAGTGACCGAAAGAGACTTAAACCACGAAGGAAAGGAAAGGCTCTTGGTGACTTAATACGAGATTCTGCTAGTCAGGGAAAAACTTATATGGGAAAGTAGGTATACAGTGCCCAATTTTGAACTCTACCTAAAGAGTTTGTTGCAGTTTGATCTTAAATCATATTGTGTCATCCTAATTCTTTTATAGTGCTGAGCTGACCAAACTGTGGAATGTTTGCCCAGACAATTTAGAGGCTTGTAGAGGAAGAGACAGAGATTTCCTTCCATCACTTGATTCATATTTTGAGGAAGCAATTGAGCAATCTGACCCCAGTGCTATGGTGGAAGACAGCTACAAGTACGGTTTTATTTTGGCTTTCATATGTTTACACATGCGTGTGGTCATTATTTTCATGTGATTTTTTTATTTTCTTTGACAGAAAAATTAATGATGGTAACTTTGGCTGGCGAGCACTGCGGCTTCTTGCTCGAAGGAGCCCTCATTTCTTTACCCTGAGTAGTAATAATATCAGTAAACTGCCTGAATACCTAGAGACAATGATCAGAAAGATTGCTAAGGATAGACCTACAACAGGATCGGTAACTAAAAATGAAGTTATTGTGGTAATTTTATTTTAAGTAGCAAATGTGTTAAAGTACATTTTTTTCCCTGCTTAGTTGGCAATTCCTCAAGATGAAGCAAAACCTGAAGTTTTGGATGGTCAAACAGAAGAAAATGGAGCAGATAATGAACAAGAGGAGGATGAGTTACTGAAAACTATGAAGGAGGAAGAGACTAAAGAAGGTACTATATTTTTGGGGTCTATGATGGTTTAGCTATGCTTATGTAATTTAGTTACTATCATCTTTGATCTTGAGGTATTTGAGATGACAAACAATGCATATTATTTCAGATGAGACAGAAGAGAAAAAGCCTGGTTCCTTCAATGAAAAAATTTTGGATTCGTTAGCTAATATTTTATCATCATCATGGAGGAAGGTAGCTTCAAAGTTGGAGTACACTAAGAAACAGGTATCATTAATTTATGATTTGGAAAAGTGTTAATGTTGTTGTACAGCAACTTAAACCAAATGAACATGTTGATAATTTATTTTGCCTTACAGATTGAGGAGATTATCTCAGATGCTACCGATGACTCAGAATGTGCTAGAAAATGGTTGCAACATTATGCTGAATTTGATGAAGATGGAAATCCGGACAATTTAGCCTATACCTTAGAGGGTATGGGTTTCACTGAAGCTGCTTCCGTAATTAATGAGATGACTTAAGTTACCACTCATAGTTGAAAAATGTCTGATGAATTATGACGTAATCAAAAGTAAAACAAATGTGAAAGTTTTGGAAAATTTTGTCTTTTATAAGACACTTTTATATTAAAGGTTTTAGTTTAATCACTGCACAACATTGCTCTATTTATTTTTTTCCTATTATCTTGTATCTGTGGTCAATCCTGTTACAGTTGAACAATCTGACAATGCTTGTGTACCGTCCACGATTTGATCATAAAAGCAGATTAAAGATTGTCTTTTTCTAATTTGTACTGATATCTAAAAATGTTCAATGGGGGAGGGGGAGGGGGCTTTTATGGACTGTCTAAAAAGGATTTTTATAAAAGCTGTTGTTGGTAGTCATTTTAGTGGAGCATTTTTCCCGTCAAAAAACCGCAACTGTGTGCACGCGAGAGTGTTGGCCTGGCCCCATGGATGTAGAAAGCACTGGCCCACACGCACTGGTGCCGGTTGAGCAGCAGTGAGCAATAACTCCATAAGCAGATGTAGTAACGCGCATTGAAATGCGCCCAACAGCAACACATTTTACGTACATTTTATATACATCGCCGCATTTAATGCTCATAATGCACTTGAAAAAAATGCGTTACCGTTGTTGTGCATTTTGATGTTCACATTTAATGCAAATTAATTAATGCCCAGCGACGCTACTAGATAAGGGATGGGGCTGGGGGCGCATGGCAGGGGCGGGAGGTGGCTCAAGTGCGGCGAGGAGCCAACAAGGGGCTAGAAGCTAGCAAATAAGCATTGCAGCCTCTCGCTATCAGATCTTCATCGACGGCAGGCAATCGACGTATCGAAACCAGACGCGGGGGCGATTCTACAGTTCTGGCTGGGATGCAATTTTTGATCCAAAACCCCTCCTGTATGTAGGCAACTCTCGGTGCATCGCCCCCCTCCGGCCGGACCACGTAATCCGCGCCTGATCGGATCGGTGCCTTAAGAGGAGGCTAAAGTCTCGGCCGTCCAGCGCGCTGGCGGGCTCCGCGCGGCGCTCGCAACGCCTTGCACGGGAAGACTTCTCACATTGTTTCTCAAAAACCCGTGCACCAAAAAAATCCAAATTCGGCAGGTGGGTCCTTGAAGGACTAATCTCGATGTCGAACGCATTCGTTTTCCTCCGACGACGCCAATAGGCAGAATTTTGTTTTTATCAAGACGAGACATTTTTATCTTTGGGTAGAGAAAGCCACAAGAGACTCTATAATAAAGCAAGAAAATGTAAAGACCAACACCATCGCCTCCTCCCTCTACTCCGGCACGGGCACGGCACCTCCACCATACCGCCCCACCCGTCTGCCAGCCGGCCAGGAGGCAGGGAAGGGGGGTGGGGTG